TTCGTTGAGGATGGTTTCAAAGTAATCATGCACTCAGGTATGTGTAATGCCTTTATCAAGGCATGTTGCTTTCATATGCTCTCAGTACAGAAATCTAGACTTTGGATTGCTCTCCCTACTTCAAAAATAATGCATTTTCTACTTCTTATATATGTATTCTTGAAATATTCTTTCTATAGGAAGCTCTTCTTCCTAGTTTCACAAATCATAACATACGAATATTTAACATTTTAAATATTATCATCTGTGTTGTCACTCTCTAGGACTGAAGAGATAATATGAGAAGTTTTCTTGAGAAATTACTAAGGATTCAAGAAGTATTTTGTGGTGAGTGTACCATTAGTAGTATACTTTCCTTTGAATGAACTTGAAAGTCATTCAAAGTTAGCAGAGGGTTCTGCTGCAAATTTGTTACTTTGAAAAAGAAGTTATTGTAGATTTTCTAAATGCTTTAGCACAATGAGTTTTAAATCTTCAGTATTGCTGGATTTCCCCTCGGGATTGTGTAGAGATGCAGACATCTGAGAATGCAAAAGCAGGTAGGCAGATGATGGTTTTCCAACTACAATGAAGGCTGATAGGCAGCAATGTTGGTGGTTCAAGTTTTTTATCCCTTAGCAGACTCCTGATCATGCCTTGCCCCTGTGATCTTTCTGTCTTCATGAGCCTTCAAAACACAGTGGTAACCTTGAAAATACAGCACTACATGGTGACCTTTTTTGTGCTTGTTGTATTGGAACAAAAAATGATCTTGTGTGTACCTACTAATAATGTGTGCTGAGCAGTAAATGTCACCTGCCCTGATCACCTGGGCAGGTGAGGTTTGTTTCAGGGTTTGCCCTTGCAATCATAAGATTATGGAGTACAAACAAAGCCATTATAAACAATAACCTCCTTCCTCTTGGGGTGTGGCTGAAGAGGTTACCGTCTCCAGCTGTGTCTTCTGAGCTCCTGCCAGAGGCCACCAAGGAACATTGCTTCTCAGGTGCTCTGTTTTGCAGTTTGTTGGTTCAAATCCCTTGGGTTTTGTATGTGACCTGGGTGTGAACAGGGGATGGTCTGTGCACTCACCCCTTCACCACAGCTGGAAGAGGGGTGAGATGTGGCCACAGCCTTTCTGCTTTCAGCAAGTTGCAGCATTAAATAGTGTGATGGCATCATAGCCTGAGGCTGAGGGGAAAATTGCCCTCATCCTGTGCTGGGAAGAAATGTCTGGCTTGGTTGCTAGTGAGGAAAGCAGGTTTTGGCAAAGGAACTTGCTTAGAAGGGTTCTGCCAATGCTGGGCGTTAGGAAAATCAACAGCAGAAAGCAGGAGCAGGTTTCATGGTAGTGTGGGGAGGGGGAAAAGGCAAAAAGGCAGCAGCTTATGGGAATGTGTGAATGCTGTGGGCAGATGCAAGATCTTGCACTTCGCCTTGGCTGAACTTCACGATGCTTGTGTGGCCCAATCCTCAAGCCTGTCTAGGTCCCTTTGGATGGCATCTCTTCCCTCTGGTAAATCAACTGCACCACACTCAGCTTGGTGTCATGTGGAAACTTGCTGAAGGTACAGATGATCCCACTGTCATTGAAGAGACAGTAACAAGTTTGCTACAAGTCTCTTCAATGTTTTGGTCTCAGTACAGACCCTTGAGGGTCCACTTACTGCTGGTTTATTTCCACCTATCTAGCCACTTCCTTATCCATCAAACCCATATTTATATTTTCCAGTTTAGCAGCCAGAAAGCTGGGAGGGACTGTTAAAAGACCTTCCAGAAGTCCAGGTAGATGACAGCTGTAGCTCATCCCTTGTCAACGAAAGCAGTCACTCCATCATTCAAAGCCACTAGATCAGTTGGGTACTATTTGCCCTTGGAGAAGCTGCAGCTTGTGTTGGCTGTCTTTAACTTCTGCATCGTCCATATGTTTTGATATTATCTTTCAGGATGGTCTGTACCATGATCTTACTGGGCACAGAGGTAAGGCTGACTGGTTGATAGCTCCTACAGTCCTCATCACCTTTTTCTAAAAACAGATGTGATACTCTCTTTTCTTCAGTCACTGGGGACTTTGACTGACTGCCATGACTTTTCAAATATGATGAGAGAATGAATGGCTGCATATTTCAGAAGTTGTCATCTGAATGCCTGTGTTAAGGAAACATCCCTGTCCAACCACCCAGGAAGCACCTGGACAGTGACACTCACAGCACCTGGGCTAGGAGCAAGGTTTATCTGGAATCTCCCACTCACAGTACCAGTATAGGATTTGGGACTTGTGCACCAGCAGGGAAATAACTGGATTGCACAGCTGCAAGGCAGCCATTCCTTTCTGTGACATTGCACAATACTGACAGGTTATAAATGGGTCTGATTTAGCTTGGGCTGGCAGGCAGAATAATGTTTTTTCAGAGAGGATTTAGCTCTGTAATGCTTTGAATAATGTCTCCCATAATTTCTGATGTCATTCAGAAAGCAGGTCAGTGCTGAGCTGTGATGATGCATTGAAAGACTTGTCTTCTCTTCTGCTATTGTGTTGGTTTTACAGAGAATCATCACCTTTCACCTCCACCATCACCTGCTCCTAAAGATCCATTACAGGTTGTACCTTTCTGCAATGAAACCAAGGTTACTTCAACCCTTGAGGCTGTATAGTGTTGGGATGATGAGCTGATTATGGATGCATATGTTCCATCTTTTATAGAACAGTTTACAAAGTAATTCCCTTTGTAGACAGAACAAATTATCTGTTAAAGATGAAGCAGCCGTTAAATGCAGGCCAGGCCTCAAGTACTGCAACCTTAGGTCCATCTGATGATTTAATTTCCATGCTGAGAGAACACAATCTACAGCACAAGTGGAATCAAACTGAGCAAGTTTGTCTTGTCAGGTAAGAAGGTCTGGGCATTCATGCCATCTTCCCATTTTCAACTTCCAGCTCTATAGCTTAGTGGTAAAAAAATGGAAGATCACCTCTTGTCACTGCAATGCAGGGTTAGAGGTGGCTTCTAAGAAACTACTAACCACCACTGCCTGGCCCCAATGCATGTGTTAGATTTCACTGGCATTTGCTCCAAGAAATGTGGTCCTGGCCAGGATTCTTATTCCTGAGGACAAAGAGGCAGGTTAGAGTGATGGGAATGTGCCCATTGCTGCCAAATGATCTTGCTGAAAACCTGTATTTTCTGAAGGAGGTGTTAGGGACCTAAACTGTAATCTGTGAGCGCTGTGGCTAAGGAGGGGTGACTAGTTGGAGCCCTGGTTTTGATTCTTCTTATCTGAAAGGTCATTTAGTCCAGCAGTGACCTGTTTTTCCACTTAGAAAAATAATGGTGGTTGTTGCCTGTGGTGGCTGGAATTGGTAAGTTTCTGCAGCTGGGCTAAGTGGCCAAGCAGTGGTCATCCTTCCACAATGAGCAAGAGAGCTGGTGCCCATCTTTCTAGGTGAGGCCTTCACCAGCATCTCTTTCCTGTGTTGGCATGTGCCCAGCTCAGCACTTGCCCAGCTGGAGACATCCTCCAGCATGGAGCTGTTCTGCCCCCACTCTCCTGGAACAGCAGAGCCTGTTGTAGAGTAAGCCTTTGTCCTGCTGGAAGTGGGGGTCCTTATTCTTGGCCAATGCTCAGCTTTTCCAGGGGAAAAGTTCAACATTGTCAGCTGTCACAAATACCTGCTCCAAATTATGTGATGCAAGAAAAATGAAGTGGGGGAATTCTCCACTCTTTGTTCTAGTGGGTTCTGATGTTCAGAACACACAGGACTGGAAATGTGTTTCTTCCCATGCCATCTTTGGACAGCCAAGTGCTGGTACAAGGAGATCCACTATATTCCCTGATGAAAAATCAGCCCCTGGTTCTAATACTGCAGCTGAAATGCCCAGAGCAGGGTACTGAAGAAGGAACATGCTACTGATTAGATTTTACTACTAGAAACTTAATTTCACCCTTTTCAAAATAAAATAATGTTTGAGATGATTGGTTTAACTAGTTGTCCTATATAACAAACCCACACTGCCTTTCTCTGCTTGTTACTGTTTCCAAGTCCTGCTCTGATTTTAGTCTGAAAGAACCATATTTTTATGCACATCTTTTTTCCTGTAGCCTGAACTTTTTGCATTTGTGTAATATTCAGAGTGGGGCAAAATATCCTCTCCTAGGAGTGCATTTAGGTAGCAGCTAAAGTAGTTCTATTGGGTTCATGTTAATTTTTAAACCGGTAGAGAAGAGAGGCTGTTTGCACTTCAGGAAGAGGCCAGGATGGATGGAGTTTACATTGCAATAAATCAAATAATGTTAAGTAAATGCTAAAAAAAAAAGCACCAGCCATTAGAACTGCATTCCCATGTTGAACATCCCCAATGTTAGCTTTGTGTGAACTGTGCCCCTGCCACATCTGCTGGAGCTGCTCCAGTGAGGAGCCACCCAGCCTCTCACTGTGCTGACATGGTGTAGTCATTGGGGGCAGGCAGGAACTAAATGCTTTGCTTTCCTTAGTACTGCGTGTTCAATGCTATGTGACCTGCCTTGACCCAGGCTGCTTCTGTGGATCTCAGACTCACACCTGGAAGATGCATAGCAGTCAAGACAGATGTTAAGAAGCTCTGGCCAGAGCAGAGGCTTCCTACAGATAGGAACAGGTATTGAACTCCTTCTGCATCTACAGGTCACTGTGAGAGCTGACCCCTTGCAGGAAAGGCTGCCAAGGAGAAAGCTTTCCCTTATCTATGCAAATATGTCTCAGCATCAGGACCTGGGTAATTCGAGTAGGGCCTAGACTAAAAATAGAAAGCATCTCATTGCCTTATTAACAGTTTCAGTAGTCCACTCAAAGCTCAAGCTGCAGGAAGCTCTCAGTTCCCCAGCCCCCCAAGCCCCTAGAAGGAGACTTTTCCTTGCTTAGGGAGAAGAGAGGTCTCTGGAGCACAAAGAAACATACTACCTTGTCCTCACTGCAGCAGGTTTTGAATGAGGCTTGCTCAGAAGGAGTCAGCACTGTTGAACACCACCCACTTTAGACTAGATGCAAGAAGTTTTGAAGCCTTTATTTAGTAGCAATTAAATTATTCAATTAACACTAACCTCCAGACAGCAGTTAAAATATTGTACAAAGAGCAGCTTGCCCTCTAGAAGCTCTGTACACAGTTCAATATAAACAGACTAAGTTTGAATGCACCCCACTGAAAAGGGGTAAAGCAGCTGTGCACAGGAGGCCTCACTGAGGTGCTGTACTACCTTTGAAATGCACAAGACTTCCTCCCAGGGAGTTTGCACAGTACAGACACAGTCCTGTCCCCCTGCCATGTTCCACCAGGTCATTCCTGGACTGATTAGGTTCTTGCAGTGGTGCTGGGCACCGGAACTTCTAGTGCATGAAACAGATTCTTTTAAAACCTGTTACTAGTGTGCAGTTCAAATCAAATCTGTAGATATTTAAATGGCTCTTAATTCCTTAAACCGTAAGGTTGGTAGCAAAACAGGAGAGCAAAATTCAAAACACACTGCACAAAACATTGAATAAATAACCTCTGAGTAATGTTACCAGCTTAAACAACTGCATTACTGCTCCAGAGATGGGAACACTTCTGGAATTTTCTGAGCAGAGCTCAAGTTTCAAGGGCATTACTTTAGTAAAAGAAAAGTCACTTTATGAAAAATTACATCTTTACAGAAGTGACACTCTTCTTCATTTAAGAACAGAATATTGCAATTACTTTGTGTGCTTTTTAAACATTCCCATGTCACAATAAATAAAACCAGTTTTACTTGTGTCAATGTTATCTACAAAATAAAGTATTCACAGAACAGCTGAAGGTGTTCTATTCCTCATACACCACAACCTAATATAGGTGTACTCAGGGCAGTTTGAAACCACAGCGACTTTGTCCATGCAGGACCCACCATCAGCCAGAAAAGTTATTCCCCTACCTTTAGGACTGAAGATCTTGTACCACCAGATTTATTGCAGAGATGCTTAATATTCTGTTTGATAACATGTCAGTATTTTCAGGAGATAAGTAGAACAAGGGAAAACATTAAAATGGATTAAGACTTATTTGTATCAGTCAGAGGCTCCTCACTGCATTTTAATAAATATCAGGCAAATTAAAGTAGTTTCTGTCCCAGTAGTTGCCAGAGTAAAGCCAGTCCTGTGTACCAGTGTGGGGATTGGGGCCTTGGTGGAACCATCTGCAAGGAAACACACAGCATGTTAGTGGAGCTATTAAGACTCACTTGTACAAGTTCAGAACTGCTTTGCTGCATTGTCAGCAGTTTACTGCACAAAATTACTGAAGGAGTTCTCTTAGTTTTAAATTTATAAGTGAGTTTATAGTCATCTTCAGTGACTACGTTTCCCCATTTGCTACACTGCTTAAACATCTCTGAGATGGAATCACTGACACCAATATTTTGCCATTTGAAGCTGCCAAGATTACTGTGTAATAAAGGACAGATTCAGCTTTATTTCAAAGCAGTTGTGAACAACCATTCCAGCATGCACAAGCAGTAACAGTTTTTGCAAGATATGTAAACACCACAAGCACTGCAGTCCTGAAAACAAGTATTATTTCCCTGGATCTAGATTACTCCTTGGTTTTTTTAAGGTCTTGTTTTGCAATGCACTTCATCATAGAATTGTAGAGTGACCTGAGTTGGAAAGCACCTTAAAAACCCATCACCTTTCTTTTCTGGTTAACATATGCGTAGATGCCCTTTGTGTTGTTTTTTGCATGTTTTGCCAAATTCCAGCTTTGGCTTGGTCTTCCTTACCCCATCATCCCTATAAAACTCATCTTTGTACTCTTCACAGGTGCTCATCCTTGTTTCCACTGCCTGTGCATTTGCTTCCTGCCCTTTGGTTTGACCAGCAGGTAACTCGGAACAAGTGTGCCAGCTACCCTCAGTGTAGATGAAACATCACCCACAGGCTGCAGGAAGACTTTTGGATTATTACAAGTTAACTATGTTGTGTTACCCTGTTGGCAGCAGGAGACTCAATCTGAATGCCCAGAAAGCTGATTCCATCTGCATGGAGCTACTTACAAGCTTTTACTAAGCTGGTTATTAATAGAAACACTGAAGTTGAGCACCTGCTGTCTTTCCCTTCTTCTCTCCTCCTGCTTAATCTGGAGGCACCATACAGCACACAGTAAATGCCACTTTCTGTTTGGCCCAGTTACTCAATCTTGTGCCTCAACAGTCCATAGTACCAGACCTCAAGCATTTTAACTTCCTTCTGTATTTTGCCAAGCCACATTTATGGCATGAGACAGCTTGGTAGGAGCTGTTTCTGTGGTTAATGTGCTCCACAACTTCCTTTCACCTCCTTACTGACCACAGAAGCCAGTTGTTTCTTTCTGTAATTCACTGTAGTGGCCACACTCAGCCAAGTAAATCATCTGTGTGCAAGGCAGCCTGTTTAACTCTGCTCTTCTCTTCTCCAGCACCATGATGGTTCAGAATAGAAAAAGTACATCTGAACTAAATATGACTTCATCTGTTTAAAAGGCAAAAGCTTAAAGGCCACCAGTAGTGCAGGGTTATGTTACAAAGCAGGGCAGCTAAGAGTCAAGTTTTGCTTGGCTCAAAGAGCTTGAGCTGTGCTGGAAGAAATGCCTTGTGCTGCCTTCCCAGGAGTAACAGAAGAGGTGAACATTCCCGTGGTTCTCCTGCTGCCCAGGTTAAGTTAACTGAAGTCAACAGAAGTCATTCACCCTAGTACTGTACACAGCTCACTCCTGCTTCTCCCACAGGAAGAGTCAGCTATTCCCAAATAAGACGTGTATGGATCAGCTTAGGTGTCCAGTTCACTGGTGACAGCAGCTCATTCCAGAGCTAAAGGCAAACATTTGCCTTGAGATACGGCTATAAGCAGAGTGACCTCACCTCTCAGGTTAAGAAATTCTATCACCTCAGAGCTCATTAGTGTGTCCTCAACACTTGTACAGGTCAGGACAGAATGCCCCTCATCCAGTGTCCACCTACTTCAATAGGAAGGGGAAAGGCAATGGGAACAACTAAGTCTGAGAGACTTGTAAGACCTAAACCAGTCAGTGATGTGGGAAAGATGGGACAGACTTCATCAAAATCAACAGACCACTGCTGTATTTCAGAACTGAATTAAGTATTTTTACTCAAGACTTAAGATTACTGGTCAGCATTTAAAGTATTAAATGTTCAATATTAATCACCTCTTGAGAAACACCAAGACCCCACTTCTAAAGTAGATTCAGAATAATAAAATTACATATAAAAAGAAATCACTATGCACTTCAGAGAATTGTCTTAGGAAGGAGGAATTCTACTAGACAAAGGAAGAAACCTGTTTTTCTGTGGCAAGGAAATGGCAGTAGTTTAGATATGATTTCATAATGCACTGCAGAATAAGACCTACAGATAACCTGGGAACGGGTAGGAGAGGAGTTCTTCACAACATGCACTTTTCCGCCCATAGCACAACTCTCCCTAAACTTAACATTCATCCTTCGTAGTCAGCCACACCTGGCATTCCTACTAAAGAGATGAGACACCAGGAATTTTCTGCCAAAGCTTTAGAAACCTCGTGGAAAGCAAGGAGTTCTTAAAGGCTATCCCAGACTCGTGCTGAACAGGTCTACACAATCTGCACAACAGCAGTTGCAGAACCTTGTGAATGGCATCTGTGCTAATTCTATAACCCAAAAACCACAGCTCCATGGAAATTCCTCAATCTCCAGCCTCAGATGCTTTGAGCTATATTTAAGCTACTTCAAGCACCTGGAAAAATACTATGCAACTATCTCAGGTTTGAAAACACCTTGTGAGAGCTAGAACCTCTCTGAATTCAGGAAAGGAAGTGAGAGGTGCAAGGCTGCCCAGCACTTAGAAGCTTTACAAAGATGTTATTTTCCATCAGTCTCTATGCAAACAAACCCAAACACTTCAAGAGAGCAGGCACAGGAAAAAGACAAAGGCAGACATGTCCAAACCTGGGATTTTGGGATGATGGGTGACTTCATTTAAAAAAAAAAAAAAAAGAAAAAAGAAAAGTGTTTTACAAACATTTTAAAGATATTTAATCCAGAGTGTCTGACTGTATTAATAATAGAGAAAAGAGGAACCTTGCTTACTTAAAGTTTAGCCATATTGTTGTTTTTCCTGAGAAGATAATGCCAACTTACTACTTTGCTTTTAAATAGACCTTGGTCGAACTGGAATTATCTGGTCAGGTTTTCACAGTTTCTTCTTAGTTTGTGTGTAACAGCTCCCAGTTGACTCCTCACGGTTTAAAGAAAATCCAGAAAAAATCCCCAAAACATCCTGGCAGGTCCCTTGCATGCTAACTTTTCCCTTAGCTCCTCTTTTGTAGTTAGGGTCCCCCACCAAAAGAAGGCAGGGTCTTGGATAAGTGGGTGATAAGCTTTGAGAACACCGCACTGTCAGCACAGAGCCACGGGGCTGAGAAGTCACGGGCAAGCTCTCAAGGGGAGAGCATTTCCTCCTCTCTTTGGCCAGGCATGCAAATTTGAGGCAATTATAAATTAACCAGCAACACCACTCCTTACAGCAGCCGTCAGAGGTAACACCTTTGTCATGTCAGAACCAAGAAGTGCTCAGAGAAGACAACAGTTTGTATTTGCATATGGGTGTGCAAGCAGTGAGGGAAGGAACAGAGAGCAAGCCTGGCACTTCCCCCTGGAAGTGCTACATCCCGCTGGGACCGAATCTGCAAACACAACAGTGGCACTGCCAGACCTGATGCTGTCTGTCTGCTCTTCATGCTGACACAACGCTCACTGCATGTCACCAGTGGAGACTGGCACTTAACCTGAATGTTCAAAGCCTTCACATTACTGCACACGCACACAGGCAAGGGCACCAACCTCGTCTTCCAGTCTTCCTCTGACTTGGAACGATTTTTGCGGGCAGTCCTCTGTTTTTCTTCTAGCCTCTTCTTTTCTTCACTAGCCAGATCTTGAAGGATAAAAATACACAAAAATACAGAAGATGTTAAAGCATAATGTATAAGGCAGGGACATTACTTCATCTGACCCAGAAAATAAATAAGGGCAGTAGTAGAAAATGTCCATTTAAAAAGCCTTCTACAGAACACTGAAGGTTACTGGTTTTGTCTAAGAACAAAGCTGTAACACAGATCAGCCAATGGCATCCTGGTCTTCAAGACAGTTAAATATGTATTTCCACGGCCTGAGGACTCTGGAAATGCGTCTACATGACAGCAAATGTGAGCTAAGGGATGTGGCATATGTAGAATTCAGTAGGGAAACTGAAGATATGATCAATTTATTTCAGAAGTCTGAAGGCCACCTGCTTCTTGTTGAGTTTTGGGTTAAGTTGCTACTAGTGTCTAGTTCCTCATCACCAGAGGTTTGGAATGCTTATTTCCAAATCACAAAGAATTGTCTCTCTGCAGCATCCCTTCATTTTTTTTTTGGTAATGCACTAATGTAGCATCCCAAACAAGCAGAACAGTTGCTTCTCTTTGGCAGGAAGGATGATCAGAAGGTCTAAAGAGTAAGTCAGACTCAGAAGCAGATTAGATGAAAGTCAATCTCACTTTCCTGAATCCTCAGACAGCATTTCGTACACATCTTAAGTCTCCAAGAATGATTCTCTTCACTGTTTCTGCCAGCCATTCCCTGTCAGCTTCTAACCCACTATGTATTATTAGCTGCTATACAAACTTCACGCCACTAGTGTGTCATGAAAGAATATGGTGTGTTGCTAACAGCATAGTTATTTGCTCTTCAAATTTAAACAGACAAATTACTGGGGATACTCTGAACCAAATATATCCATCATCCTGGCCAGAAAACAGTTGTACAGGCAGGGGAGAGTGGTTGTGGGAATTCACTGATCTGTTTTAAAAGCCTCAAAGAAATGGTTATCAGCTTCTGAGAAAAAAAGAAACAAAACTGCACAGCTGCACTGTATTACACCAAGACGCTGGTTTTCATTGCTAGATCTCAGACGACCTATTAGAAGTCTCACAGTTTTTGCCCTATTATACAGCTGAAACCGAATCAGGGTTTCATGACTTACCCCAATCAATTAGCAAGCCAGAGAAAGCAAGAGCCCCCATGCTCTCTATAAAGTACAAAGCTGGCCATCCTGCTTTAATACTCTAAAAGCATACTGCTTCTACTCACTGGAAGTCTCATATGTATTTCTAATTCACTGTTCTAGGACAGCTGAAGTGTTCTAACTCCCAGTGAAGTATAATTTTGCATCAAGTGTATTTTTTGGCATTGCAGTTTCACTTAAATACTTTAGACTGCATTTCTCAGAACTGGCACAACAAAACACTCCATTCTGCATCAGGCTGATGGAAACAGAAACTGAGAAGTTAATGAGTATTTCCTTAAGACTGTGCAGATATTGTTTATCAACTCTGTTTTGGTCACCAGTCTAAACATCTGCAGGAGATATGGGTGACTATGAAGATTAGCTTCATCCCAATTGTAGAGACACCAGAAGTACAACACAGCCTGCAGAACGTTGCATTAAAGAGTTACTGCTTGGCATCATGGAGGAATGCATGGGGAGCTACTTCCTCTAGCTGTTCATCTAACAACTTTTTTTCCAATCCCTCAGCTTTAAGAAAAAATAAAACCGCCTTTGCCAATAACTGAAGTTACCTATTTCTCCATTTTCCATAGCTCTGATATCTGGTCGTAGCCGGCAGTCAGTTTTGGGAATGACACTCTCCATTTCTTTGTCCAACTCATTCAAAGCCATAGCAAAGCTTGTAAAATTATACATCTGAAATTCAGAGACAAAGATGAAAGGTGACTTTACCACACCTCTAGCTACTGTCTTAATACAGATGAAAACTGCTGTCTAAAAACAAACATCCAAGTGCTTTTGTACTGCTTAATCACTCAATATAGGATTGCTCAAGATACCAGTAAAACCGCACTGTCAGGCAATGTATGTGATCCTTAGTATTTCTGTTTAAGGAGGCCAGCATCCAATTACTCAGTGCACTATTTCTCTCTTATCTTCTTTTTCCAGTCCTACTGGTATTTTCTCTATCTCTGTAGAGAGATTTCCTCCTTGATTAATGCAGTGGGGGGATCTTTTCTGTACCAATCCTTTGTCTTCTCAGTTGCACATAATACCCTTGTATTTTGCCTAGTGGTTCTCCAGTTTCACAGCCTTTCACACACCAACTGGTGCCATGCAGGTCTGTCCTTGGAAATGTCTGGCCTCTAATAAAGCCCTTCAGTGTGCTTTCTTACAAGGCTGGTGCCTCAGTGGGGAAGCAGGGTGGAGAGAAGTTGGGAGAGACCCCATGCCACTATCTACATGAAGCATCCCATTTTCCAGAGAAAAACCACTAATCCTAGATTGATCCCTGTGGCAGTTATCCTTCCAACCCCACATTAGAAAGTTAGAGCTGTGGTGGGGAGGCTTGTTGCAATAAACAGGCAAATCCAGACCTGCTAATGACAAAGACAACAAATGATGTGCTTTGTGTAAACCACAGAGATAACAGGATAGCACATATTTTCAATAAGCAGAAGCATAGCTGACCTGTGCTGAATTTGGAGGTCTTGGAGTTATTTTCCATAGCAAAACACTTCCAGGAATGACATACACACTCTCAGAGTCTGGCAATGGCATCTCATCTGATTCCTCGGTATTGCCCACCTAAAGGCAGCACACAAAGAAAAGAGCAGTTCTTTGAAGTTATGAACCATTTACATCCAATCTTAGTTACAGAACTTACATAAAATTATTTCCTTGACTAAAGGGGAGTAATTCCAGCAAAGAAACTTTTCTGGTCAAGGACTGAGGGATTAACATAGCACACATACAATTCCTTCCCAGTGGAACACTACCAACAGTTTCTCGCATCGACATCTTTGTAGATGTAAGCTGGGTGTTCAAGCGCTAAGAAATGTCAATTTTTCCACCTCAGAGATGTCCTGTTTCCTCAAGCACAAGCATTTTCATGCCTGATACTTAACTTCACTACTGCCTCATTGAAGGTGAAGAATAGAAGCCACATTCCTTATCCTTCCACAACAAAGGCCAGCACATAATTCAGATACTGCCCAGTTTGTGCACAAGAAAAGCCCTTCCTACTTCTTTTGTGCCCAGAGGAACCTTCCTTTGCATTAACCACTGCACTACTGAAATGGCAAACTGCAAATGTGAAATTAATATCCTAAATTAGCTATGGCTTCTGGAAAGGGTATGAAGGGTGACACATACGACCTGAGGCAGCTGTAGCCACAAGACTGGAAAATGCTTTTCCCAGAAACTAAAAAACTTCAGAGGGTTACTGGGGCAGGAGAGTAACTGGTGATCACAGTGTAGGTGTGACCTGAACTAGTTCTAAACCATTTCCCATTTTACACACAGCTTTAAAGCAGCTGGGCTCTGATGCTGCTGACATTAATTCCACCACAGAAGAGGATATTGGAAGATCGAACTAGAGCCATGCTGGACAATGAATAAGGCTCTTCCAAGAAAACCTAGTGTCACAATCTGAGCTAAAAACAGCAGCACGTTTCAGAGATCACTGGAGATTAAAGCTGAACTTAAAGGCAACTAATGCTTTAAATACTTTGGCTACAGGCCAGCAGCTTTAATCCTGCTGCTAATAAGCTTTGCTCTCCCATGGTTGCATCAGATAATACTGAAAACATCCAGTACCCAACGTGCACTCAGTTGTCCTCTGAGATGATTCACGTGTTATGCTTCCAAGAAAATCAGAAGTAGTAAGTGTTCTGCTTCACTGAGAAGCCCTTCACTGTGCTTTCAATAATGAACAGTCAGCAGAACAATGTGCAGACCAAGTTCAGCCCCTCAGTTCTTAGGAAGACAAACAGGGCTTTTAGTTCACTATATCTGAACTGTGCTGGCAACCCATCATTCTGTTCTTTAAATGTTCCTGATCAATCCTTCAGAAATTGAGAATTTGAAGCAGAACACATCAGAAAATTATCCTTTTATCAAAACAAAGACAATTCAATATCAGACTGTCAAACCCCGAGCCTTTTATAAAAAGGCTACAATACACAATGCAATTTCTGCCTTGTTGGATACAAGACATTGAAATACCATAAGAATTACAGAGAAATAGGTAAAATGTGGATTTTCTCATGCTCTTGTCACAATGATCCATATTTTATGCTCAGTGCTACTCAAGTATTCAGTATATTGCTGTGGGGATAGTTAACAGACCTGCCAAAGCAAGATCTCTGTAAATGAGGTGTCTGTAAATGAGGCACATGCAAGGGGAGTTGCTGTTGCCTACATTATTCTCTTCCATGTATTTGCACTGAAAATTCTGCAGAAAATGCTTCATCTTAATTAAAAAATAATCCAGTTCATTCAGAGCACAACCATCCTGGTCTAACTGTGGGTCTACTATAACTCTTCTGATGTTAGTAAAATATCACCTTAGCATACATGAAGGCTTCTCTAGTTCCCTGAAAAATTATTTTCCTCTAAGTTTTATTGCTATAAAAATGAAAGAGATTCAGGAAAATCTGGGGTAAGATGCAAAAGAACTCTCATCCGAGTAGGTTCCCTCAAGGAAGGCAGAAGCATTTATTGACTAGTAGCAATGTAGCACTAAGTACTGTCTGGAAAACAACTACATAAATCTGAAAAATCTAATGAGAAGTTTAAAAAGCCGTGTACTTTTGTGCCCGAATGAATCGTTCACTACCATGAAGGGACAAACCATATCCAGACATTATACATGAGACTTGGCTCATCTAAATGCTTCAAAAACATAGAAAATTCCAGTTCCTCAGACACAAGAGGCAGTGTGAGTATATTCAGCACAGAATACCGGGTTCACACCCAGCATTACAAAGCCTTCAGTTTTCTACATAGAAAGAGTTCTGTTAATTAAGTAGGAAAAGCATTTTCCTAGAGTCAGAGCAACACTACAGCTTGATCTTTATGCAGGAGGATGTTGCATTTCGAAGTGAAAAGCAATGATCATCTTGAGCATTGTTGGAAAATACAAACAGGCAGCTGAACAAAGACACAGGGTGTGTTTTCCTTTGTTCCTTCTCCCTAGAGTTCTCCAGGTCAGACTCCCAGAGAAGCAGCAGTCCCCAGTGCTTTACCACTCTCCTGATGACAAGCACTGCAGCAAGCTCAGATACAGCAACAATCTGAACCTGCACAGGTATAACCACTTTCTCATAAGCTTCTTCAAAAACTATCAACACCCAAACAAAAAAAAAAACCCGGCTGCAGTCGCCAAAGGGTAACAATCCCAAGTGACTGTTCTTCACCAAGCTCTATGTTGTCACCATCACCATTCATACTAAACAAAAAGCTTACTGCTGACCAGAAGTTTGGAAGAATTGTGAGTGAGGTTTTTTCACAAGAGAAAAAAAAAATCAATTGTGAAGAAAAATAAAAAAATTCACTTCTATAGTTGTGAAAATTTAATAGAAAGCAGTAAAAAAATTCCTTGCAAAAGCTGGAAAATATGATCTTCTGTCAAGTTAAGAAACTAATCTGTCCTGCTTCTAAGAATCAAAATCCTCCCACTACAATATGTTGTTATACATGATTAGAAATGGCCCAACTAATGCATATGTTATTTCCTCCATGTCACCTGGGAGGAAGAGACAGGTAATGAACTAGACAGTATTTAGATCACACCAGGTTTTGGGAAGTTTGAATACAAATCTAAGAAAATAAAAGCATTTTATCCCTTATTATTGCTACTCATCCAGTCTGTTTTGTATTCCACTAGGAAAGAGAAGGTAATCATAATGCTCTTAAATGCTACTAAAATATTTAGCTGTCTTATCATGCTTTTGAGATCCCATATCTTTACATGATTAATACCTGTTTACTGCTTTTCTTCTCTTCTGTATTTTTCTTGTCGTTTTTCTTGTAAGCTTCAAATGTAGCTGGGTCAACACTGTACAAACATTCAGTCCACTTCCCATACAATGCACAGAGTTTCTTTTTGCTGTCAGAAAAAAAAAGAGCAGACTTTATAGCAGAATTCATAACTCTACTATTGCAGGTTTGTGCCAGTGACAGCCTCTGTTGAAGGCATTCAGGTCTGCTGCTCTCCTCAGAACCAAGGGCAGTCATTCCCATGCAGAATTAAGTTGTTACCTTTTGTCCTGAATGTAACCTTCAACTTTGTGCAGCTCCTTCCCAAAGAGGCCGCAGGGCTTGAAGTTTAGCACACATTTCTCACCAGTTCTAAAGGCAGAACAAGAGAACGCTAATTACTTCCGAATGCTTTTCCTTTTCAAACTTGCAGGACGTGAAAATGGTCATACTCTTAACTTACTTATGGTTAGTTATTTCCACATTTCCATACTGCTCGATCCACAGTTTGCCTACAATAATGTTATGCACACAGCACGTAGGATTTGTCCATGTGTAGGCTTCGTTGTGCCTAAGGGAAAGGAATAAAAATTACAATACTGTATCTTTGTACAGGATGTCAGTCCTTCAATAAGCCATCATCATGTCAAGTCTTGAAACAGGCATGGCAGTAAGTCAGTAAACCCAAGAAATTTATTAACCTATTGCTACTGGTTTTATCAATTCCTTTGGTACAGTCGCTGTTAGCATGGAAAGATACGAGGAAAGCCAATACACTCAGGCATGCTGGCTTTAGCAGAACTGATGGCCAGGCACTTAGAGAACATCCAGGCCCAGGTCCCCACTGCTGCTATTAGCATGCAGCATGTATGGATGGTAGTCCTTCCATCCTCCCATCCCCAGACTTTGGAATGTGGGTGTTGGACACCTCTGTTCCTAAGCCATGAGACCCTAATGCACTCTAATCATCAAGGATGAGGCACTTCAATTATTATATATATTAATATACCTCTTCAATTATTACTGATCCACTTACTCAAGAAGCTCCAAAGTCATCGTGCCTTTTGGTTCTGCTTCCACACTCTTGCCCCAGAATTTGAGTTTAGGATAAATTGATCCATGAAACACAAAATCATTATTTAAGCCTTCAGCATAGAAAGCACTGATTGGTGGATGATGGCTGACTTGCTCTGAGAGAAGCCTAAATCCAAGATCATCTCTGCAAAATAAAGATAACCAAACCATGTACCTATGTATCAAGTGTAGTGAAGCTGCAGTTGTTTTCCCTGAGGTGAAAGGAATAGTTGGACCCATGCACAGCTGCTGTACTCAGTGCAAGAGTTAATTAAAAGCCGAGGCTAAATTGAGATCAACCTAAACATAGAACATCATCATTTTAAATAACTAAGGACTTGATACAAAAAAGAAACAAGAACTACCAGATTTGATGAGTCAATATAGTTACTTTTGATATTGACCACTTTCTTAAATCTTCACCTAAGCACAGGCCAAAATATTAACTAAAAGAAAAATCTGTCTTAGGTACAGCTATAGATTAATAGACTCATGTTGCTTATTAGGTACTCTAAGCAGTCCTGTATGCTCTCCTTATGCACATGCACATTTTTCATTCATAAGGTTTCAGGGAAAAAAAGAATTTTTGTAGATAAAACTTGCTTTTAAACCTGGAAAATTTCATTTGCCTGCTCTGAATTGACAAGTTAAGTAGTTTCTCTTCACTGACAGGTGAATTGGTGAACATCAGCACACATTGCATGCACCTGCAGCAGCTGCTAGGAGAATGGCTGGAAGCTTATGAGCTTAAGTGCAGTCTGCAAGCCAGCTAACAATCTAATGAAACATCTCTCCCACGGAATACCACCTTCCAGTACAGCTCTGCTCATTACCTGATCAGTTCATAGGTCTCTCCAAGCAATGGGTTGAATGGCTTCCCAGTACGTTCCCACTGCGAGGCTACAGCAGACACAGCAAATGCAGCAACACACTGCTCAGAAGAGTATGATCACACAGTTAATCAACAGTAGCCATGGTGTTACAGAATATCAAAATATTTTCCTATACAGGTGTTCTGGTTTCTGCTGGGATAGAGCTAATTTTCTCCCTAGTAGCTGGTACAGTGCTGTTTTGGATTATAGAATGAGAATAATGATGGTAACTCATTGATGTTTTTAGTTGTTGCTAAGCAATGTCTAGCAACAAAGTCAAGGACTTTTCAACTTTTTATACCACCCTACCAGGCCCTGTTATTACCCCAACAATGAACCAGGCTGGTGATAACATGTTCACCTAGATGACAGCCAAAATCTTTTTGAGTATCTCAGCTCATTCAGGGAAAGAGATTGGGTGGATACTGCCTCATTTATGAATTCTTCATCTTCCTGCTCCCCAGTCAGCAACTACCTCTCCTCTTCCTCCTGTTCTCTCATGACAGCCCTGTTCAGAGTAGTCTATCTTGTCTACATCTTTCTCCTGCTCCCTCTTGGAAGAAATTCCTTCATCCCTTAGTAAATGAGCTGACTTTTGCTTCCAATACTTCCTCTAGTGTATAGGGGTGACTGACACCATCACAGGTTGCTTCTTTGTTCAGCAGCAGTGCCAGACATAGGAGTTGGAGTAGCTCCAGTGCCTCTTGTTTTATTGTCAGAGCCAGAGGCCTTCTTTTCCCCTTGAGGGTACTGAATAGTGTTAAACAGGGCTCATTAGGCCTGAGCCAGGCCCCAGCATACTTTTTTCAAACATTTTATTTATTTTTCAGGAGTCTGCACTTGCTTAGGAGTGGAATTTTGAAACACTGGAGATGCCCACTATCCGAGTGGTTACCCATATTATCCCACACGCTCTGCCACTCATAGCTTTCCAGCCTTGGGGCAGATCTCTTAGTGGTATCCACAAAGAGTTGTTTTACCATAAACCTGAAACACATTCAGGAGATGCAGTAAAGGAACAAATGGATTTGGCATCGTGATGATATTCGACATTCTCAAGAGCTAATTAGCCTGAAGGAGGTGGGGATAATGGAAGAAGGACTCTCCTGTGTGGATTGGCTCTATGATGAGAAAAGGCAAAAGGTGTAACTATGAATGGTTTCCTATAGATGGCTCCCGAAGCGTGGAAATGCTGAGTACAAATACCAGCTCAGACACACCACCAGGAATTCTATCACATCATAAGACAGCGTTACAAAGTACAACAAAACGCTAACCTTAACCCAGCTCCCAGAGGTGATAAACAGCACAGCAGGGAACATACACAGCAAGTTAGATGTTGCATAACACAACTCCAAGAACGTTCACAGCAGATCTGAGAGCAAATAAATCAACCAGGGACTATCAAACTAATATCATAAATGCTTATAATGAATTTGCTTTATTACGCTCTGATCAGATCCACTGTTATCTTAACCCTTCAAGCTCTGCTCCTTGTGGGGTGCCATAAAGGACTATTGTGGTTTAACCCAGCAGTGTCTGTTTAACAAACATCACACATTTGCTCACTCACCCCCCTCCCCAACCTAAATGGGATGGGAGATAGATTAGGGGGATAAAAAAGGTGAAATCAGTGGTTTGAGATAAAGGCAGCTTAATAGGGCAGAAAAGCAAGGGAAAATAATAATGACAAAAGAATCAAAATCATCAAAACAAGTAATGCACAGCACAATGGCTCACCACCCACCAACTGATGCCCGATCAGATCCTGAGCAGCAGTTCCCAGACAGCTTTCCCTTAGTTTAAGTACTGAGCTTGACACCATATGGTATGGAATATCCCCCTGGACAGTTGGGGCCAGCTGTCCCAACTCTGCTCCCATCCCAGTTTCTTGTGTCCACTAGCCTCCTTGCTGGTGGGATGGCACACGAGGAGCAGAAAGACTTTAACTTACTGTAAACATAGCTTAGGCACAACTAAAGCATCAGTGTATTACCAACATTATTCTCATTCTAAATCCAAAATACAGCACCATGCCAGCTTCTAGGAAGAAACAGAACATTATCCCCCGTGAAAACCAGGACAACAAACACAACTAGTTAATGAATAAGAGAACCCAACATGCATCAAGTTACAGGAGTTCCTCCTACAAAGAGACCATCTATAAGGAAGGGAGACCCCCCCCAACATTCCCCAGGAGCTCACACGAAGTAGCAGAGCTGACGTACCTGCATTCGCTCGGTTGTGCTGGAAAGCGAGCTGGCTTTGTGGATGAGGTACGTGTGCTCCATGTACTCCGTGAGTCGCTGCAGGAAGCTCAGTGGCTCGTTGAATATAACCGGCATTGTGATCTTTGACAACTCCTGATGCACAAATGAAATTTGTGTTAGAAGCTGAATGGTTAGATATGCTGACCCACAGTAACCCAAGTGTAATTGGCTTATTACAAAAATAAATGATGCTCTTAGTACTAATGCAATGTGCTTGACCTGGCTCTGCTAATACTGAAAGGACAAAACCCTTATGAGCTCAATAAGCAGAGCTGTGCTGGCATTAAGGCTACTTTTAAAACAATAAGAAACCAAACATCAAACTTCCTATCAATGAATGCATTAAGAAGGTGAAATGAAACAAAGGAAAGAAGCATAAAGGACCCTTTTAAAGACTAAGTTGTTTTTTATTCCATAAATAGATACACACCATCAAATTTCTTAAACATATTATCTTTCTTTTGGAGGCAGGTAGGCAAATGCAGGGAAGAGAATGAGAAAGGGCAGGGAAACATGGTGGTACAAGAATAAAAAGAGGGATTCTGTATTCTGAAGAAAAAAGGAATAAGAACTTAAAGGAAGTTTGGATGCTGTTTGTTCTCTCTCCCCATTTTTAAAAAGCATGCCCTCTGAATGCATAACACAGAAACAGTTTAAACTGCCTGCGGCAGCAAATTAAAAGGTTCTAAGTATGACTGCTGGCTAAGGGTGTGGCAAACAGCACCGTCCTTAACAGCAGCACCTGGCACCAGGAGCCTTGGCAGACGCTTTGGTACAAGCCACTACAAGTTCTGCTGCCCCCACAACTACAGCTTCTCTGCAGCAATTTCTGCAAAGCAGAATTAGGACCCTTTTTTCCTGCACACACCTTATGCAAGACAGGCTTTCAACCTGTTCTTTGTATCTTGTAACACTTTTCCACTAAAGTGTTACAAAATACAAGGGGCTTCTCCACACTAGGAGAAGCCTCAGACACTTCACATCAGCTCCGGCGACTTGGAACTGCTGATGCAGGCGTTCCCCAGCATTTCCACACCTCATTGCTTGCTGCTGCTCCTAACTACACCAAGGGCAAGAGGAGAAAACGACCGCAACCCACAAACCTTCCCTTCTGTAGACTACTGTCAGAGACTGACAGAGGTTTATCAGCAGCAAGTATTTTCAGCCTATTGTAGGATCTAATGGAGAGAAGAGCTCTTCTCAATTCACACCTAGCTGGAAGCAGATTAGGTGCCAACCAGCTAACTCTGATCTGGCCGTCTGGTCAGTAATACCATGGAAGGGGGAACACTCAGATACTAAAGGGAATGGACAAAAGCAAAATGAAAGTGGTTGTTTTCTGAGGTTGTTTTGTTTTTTCCACAATCAAAATAAAAAAACAAAACCACCACAAAGTACTTAAAGGGGTCAAGTCAGGAGAAGATGCTTTTACTGAGAGTATATTGCTCTGACCAAGTCTTACCTTCCTAGGCTGTGAAAGCAAATAAAGCATAAGCAGCAAATTAAAAATAAACAGACTAAAACAAACAAACCAACTCCATTAACAAACGAAAAAACGCATACAAAAGACCTCTTCTCCCAAACAAGTTTTCATTTGGGCCTCAAATAAAACAATCACTCCCTATTTTTTATCATAGCTTTCTGATTACCTACCATGCCAATACATTTTCTTAAGATACTCCAGATACTGAAGTCATTTCTGGAAAACATTGGAGATGGTAAGCTTGTTCTGTGGAAAGGAAGAGGGAAAAAAAGTAGAAGTAAGAAAAGTTTTCCAATACTAACCATGCTCATTTATGAAAGTAACAGTTTCCCAATTTTTAAATTACAAACCTAGCGGGAATGACAGTGCTACTTTGAAGCACTTAAACTGTTTTACCTGCATAGAAACATGAATTACTCCAAAATCAGAACCATTAACTTTGCATAACACCTGAGGAAGAGAATGTCTACAGCAGTTATCAGAACAGGTTTCACAGTGGCACCATTTAGTTATTTAATTGTGTCTTCGTGAAGAAAATGGAAGTTAACTGAATAGGTACATAAGTACATTCACTATGTCTGAACAGATCTGAGGGTTAAAGTGGGGTTGTTTTGGGGTTTTTCTGCTAGTCACCTTTATACTGACATGAAGGGCCACAATTTATGGCCTATATTAAAACCAGCTCTCAGGAGCAATAGAAAAAAGCAGCATCATTAAAGAAGAGCAAGCAGAGCCTTCTGTTCTACAGGAGGCTGACAAATCCTGAAATAAGCCATAAGCGTGCTTTCAAGGACCAGCATCTAAGCTGAGAACACACTGTTAATTTCTCAGCTGTATGGGAAATCAAGTACAGGGTTTGTTCAGTTTTCTTACTGCTACTGACCAGCTCAAATGTTGGCCTAATTTACTTCTAGAAAGGCATAAATATTGGTCAAGGTCCTTTGTCCACAACACAAATCCATTTTTAGATCATGAAGCTATTGCCAATGAGCAAAATTCACAATTTTTCTGTTCTTATTAATAGATAAAAATTACCTAGAGCTCACTCACACTGCATGAACTATTCAAGTTTCAAAGTTTAGTTAACTCTAAATTATTGTGTTGCCCTCCTAACCAAGGTTGTCTTGTCTCTGCCCAAGGCAGCTAAAGCAATCTTTTTCAAGGAGTGTGAACAGGCTGTACCTTTTTTCTCCACCCCACCTTTCTGATAAACAGAAACACTGCCCAGAGAAAAAAAAAATATACTCAGGCTAAACTGTTTCAGTAGCTCTACTTCCTGTGCTACCTCCTCTACTTATCTGCCCTGGAACACCTTCACCAGGGCTGATGCTTCAGTTTTCAGAAAGAAAGAACAAAACCAAAAAATGTTCCTTAAAAATCAAACAAGCCCCATCCCATCAAAATCGCAGTCATATGTCTGATCTCCTTATGGAGCAAACTATTGTGTTAGCAAGTAGCTACAAGCCCAACACCGACTTGTTCTACTCGGCTCCCCTGCAGAGGATGAGTAGGTAGGAACATTTCTTTTAATTGATCAACATACCACCACTCACTCCCTATTCTGACTTTTCACTGAGACAAAAATGTTTTGTGAATCAGATCATCTTGAATAATATTGGGTATAAAATACTTCTGTGGATGTTTTGATACAAATGTCCAGGAGAGGACAGTGTCCACCAGCTATTCAGTGTTATCTTCATTGGTAACGTTCACTTGTTTTTCCTGTGTGTCCTTTAATGCAGGCAGTCAGCAAAGTGGGTATTTGTGTTTAAGTAAGCCCTTCTGCATGTTAAAAACATTAACCCTTTTTGCTGAAGTATACAAAGGAATTGCTTTCCTTACATACTAAAACTTACATTTTCATTAAAGTTAACCTGCCCTTCTGTTCAATTTGTTTAATCACTTGAAAGCTTCAGCTTCAGCCACTCATCCCTATTTGTTGGTTATATCAGTCAAACTGCTATGGGAGTCGGTTCTCTCCTCCCTCTAAAACACACACACAC